CAAGAACCATCAATGTCCAGGTCTTACTACACTGGACCTCACGCTGTCCTTGGAATACTTTCAGAAACAATGTGTAGTAAACAACGCGAATTGGTGATTCAAGAACCGTTTATTCTTACACCAATACAGAGTCAACCATTTGGTTATTGTACACAAAGTCTAAGAATAAATGTCATAACAATAAATCAAGATAATACTTCTGATAGTTTTCGATCTTCCACTGAACAGCGAAAGATGATACGATGACTGCTGTATTGATGACTTCTGCGAGAAATATGGAGTTGGGTTTGAGCAAGCAACCATGAATTCAATCGTTCAGTCTTCAAGGACAAGGACATTGCATAGTTAAGGGAACTGGTAGGCAACGTAGTAATACTTGTGTGAAATGCGTCGTAGCCGTAAATCGTTATCATTTCTTCGGTTCGTCTTCAGGCTTCGCATGAAATGTTTCAGTTACATTTAATCTGGTTGCACATAGTATAAGTATGCATTGGTGTTAAGAAGAAAACAGCATCAAATATGTGTTTGTATTGTAATAACAAAATATGATAAACCTTTTGTAAAATACTGTCTAAGTCGTAGACCGTTATTAGTCCTTGTGTGCGTTCAACATCTCGGTTACTTTCAATCCCGCTGCGTAAAAATTACCTTTCATCCGGGCTAGCGAAAAATTATACGTCGAGCTTGTATTTGTTACGCGATTACTACACATACATGATAACAAAGGCTACTTACATTGAAAATAACGTATTATGGCTTTATCATGTTGAAGATAATTATACTGGTGTTCTTCTGCTGCGCAAACTATCACTCTTTCAAAGTAAATCATTACGCATTCCAAAACCAGCGACATCACTATTCCTTAGAAAAGCAAAGGGAAGTAACAGTATAAATGACCGTTAAAACTCCTAAGAAATATTTATTTTGATAATGAATTTTATAATGTCACAAAGATTCCAACGTTAACACGCAAATTCTTCAACGGCGCTTCATCAAAGCCTCCAATTAAAGTGAACCATTTTATAAATTACAAGTGTAACCTGCAAATGAAGAAAAGTAAAACATCTGTTACCAAACAATTGGCAATACAAAAATGCTGCAAACCAAAGTGACTTTTAGGAAAAAGTTTGTTTATTTACTGTTATCTTACGAATGAATCAACTCACACTCCTTTATAACCGTAAAATCTTGTGACTGTTACCAAGATTCATAACTTACAGATTCAAGACACCACTTCAGCATCTCGCAAAATATACTTCATTTACGAAATTTATTTAGCTTTTGTTACAATAATCAACAGTTTACAGAGAATTTTAACATTCCTCACACATAGGAACGAAATTCAATGACGGGAACATGCTGACTCGAAATGCTGAAAAAGTCTATTCTCCACCATTTTTCCAAGATTTTCCGTTTGAAGTATGGTATTTACAATGCTTTTCAGTCGAAAAAACGCCTGAAAATGACGTAGAACAACCTAAATACAACATCACAATAACACCTAACCTCACCCGGTGTGTGCCGTTATCCATTACCCAGCAGTACACTACATTTTAGATTGACCTACGAGGTTATCTGTATTTCAACATGAATCATTTAAGCAAAATTCATGTACAATATCTAGCAAAAGAGTGTAAAATTGTGTTGTTTCGTACTCTATATCAAGTCTTATCGTAATTTCTTCACCAGATTCACTCGTAGATCGTTTCATGCTGTAAACATGAAGGTGAAGGACATTGTTTTTTCCATATTTTTCCATATTAAGTAACCAGTTGAGCCCGCAACAATAACGGCAACCAACAAATTAACTGGAAACAACAGCTTTTGTCACTCAAACATGTTCACATTCATATTTCCCGACACTCCTACACAGTATTATTTCAAAACAGCTGAAAAACAACTAAAACACTGCAACCACGCACGAAAGCAACGTATGAAACCATTACAATGAAATGAATGAACTGACCTGGTGGTAAAAAATTCCGAAAACAACGAAATCACTGATTTTAACAGCATCGGAAGCAGAAATGAGGTGAAATGCAACACTCGTAAACAGTGTCCATCAAGGCAAGTGGTGAATAACTGCAGGATAAACGTAGAAGTCGATGCGTAAAAGAACGGTTGGGGGACGGCAATCCAATGTGGCCGACTAACATGGATGAAAGTGACCTTAAGGTGCCTAACTCTTCCAATGACCTTGGCCATGCGGGATACTTTCAGCCAAGAAACAGTACAGTTTCAACTGCAGGCAGCATGGATGGAAATTTGAAGGTCAGCCAGGGCAGGTTTGAAAAGCAGGACAGACACTCTCTAATCTTAAATCAGTGTGGAAAGCTGCTACACTGAGAGTAACAAACGAGGCACATGTTTTCAAAACTAATTTCAGGCCAATGCTGCTATGGAGTCCAGAGATTTGTTGCAAGTGCCACAAAAATATTTCTGTCAAGCTTCGAACTATCGTAATCAGCCGTTTCAATCCATCGTCCGAAGAGGATATACAACAAGGAAATGATGTGGCAAGGAAGCAAGAAGTATCTATTAACTAGCAGATATGCAGAAAAGAGGGGAAAGGGGATGAACACACACTGAAGGTAACGTTGGGTGGCATCATGAACCATGCCGCCAGGGAAAACATGAGTGGGTATCAAAGAATGGAATTTCTAGGGGTGATAAAGTGAAGGGGAAACGAATGCTTGTTGGTGGTCGATAATGATGGTATTGAAAATACGAAGCTGCATACAACCTATTTATTTCCAGGAGTCTTAAGGAGGCCTCATTACAATCTGAGACCAGAGCGGCTATATAAAATTCCCTGTGTATGAATTCGCGAGCTGTGATTTATTTTTCCTTATATAAAATATGGGTTGAAAAGGATACAGAAAATTGGAAAATTAGGTTTACGTGGAATAATTATATGAAAACAAAAAACGGTGACGAAGATATACTTCGATGAATGAATGCGTTTAGGTCCTAGGTGATCCTTGGAAAATAATCTCAGTAACCACGACCCTCGTAATATTCCCGTGAATCACCTCTCACTCACTCTTCGAAGTAGTATTGTACACTTTTAGCTATAGTATTTTACAAAATCTATAACTTAATTCCAATTTCATATTTTATAGTGTAGGGCCTTTACAACACTCCATGCTATACCCACTAGGATGTAGTAAGTAATTGAGAAATTCAAAAGGATGAAACGAGCAGCCAGGTGGGAACTAAATCTTCCTTATGATTTATAAGCCTTTCTTTATCTACGAAGTGGTGATTGCCTTTCCGTATGCTTTACCAAGTAATCCCCCGCCTCACCTGCCACCAACAATGCTTTCAAAAATAAGGATTAATAGACAGCCGGTATTCTTCGATATTAAGGCCCTTCAGTTGATAATCCAAATAATTATTTTGGTAGAAAAGTCAGCACTCGAAGAGAAGTTCTAGCAAGTTATTTGGAATCTAATTAATGCCGAATTTTATGAAGTTCATCCAAGCTAGCGAAAATTCACGACTAATGCCTTTTTGTGTGATTCATCAGACATATTTCAAGTGGATAAATAAATTGGGTTTTGATCCTGACAGAATTACGGAATAATTGTATATGCATTCGACAAGACAACGTAGCGGAGATGTTCGCAAACAGAGGAGCAATTTTACTCAGAGCGGAATGTGCGTCACGATTTTTTCTACTACAGTATAAAGTACAGTTTGGAGATAGCTGGTTATATGCTTTTAAATCCGTGATATGAAATTCTGGCCGGTGTACAGTGTTTATTGAATCAGTGGAAAAAATAAAAGTGCTCGTAGTAGTGTACCCAAATATTTATCAAGATCAGTCTGCTAAGTGATATGTAGTCTGCAGCAGTATATGTACGCTTAGTGAGCAGGATTAGTAGCAGTAATTTTCCAAGGCAACTGCTTTCGAAGTAGGCATCACTTAGAAGAATGAGAATCGCTTCTCTTAAGGTCTCAAACTACAGTGAAATAAGTCCCAGCCTTTATTTTAAGAAAGGCATGTGGATTTAAGAGGGAAGCACTCCTTTGCACCAGATTAGTAACAATTCAACTGAAAAAGGAATGTATTGAGGAAGAAGACAGAAATTGTAGTCTGTAGTTTTAAGGACTCCAGTGTATATATATAACTGTAGAGCCTGATTCTGAAGTTATCGAAAAGATTATTCTTTGTTCAGTATCCATTCTTTTGGAAATTCCAGTCAATGCAATTCTAGGAAGCCACTTGGAAACGCCACTAAAAATGACTTTCAACCTGTCTTTTAATAGATGCAGCAAGAAACACCACCTACAGTTGTTGTGTTGCCGTCTATTTTGGTAGTCCTCGGCTTTGAGCTCCCTATCTACTGACAAATTAGTCTGGCCTACCTAACGTGGTCACTTCACTTGACATTCAGCTAATAATATTGTCCCTTTCAAAAGCTAATGAACTTACCACATACCAACGAACTGTTTCAAAGACCATTACAAAGGCTGTTCGATAAACTGCACCAGCTGCTTGTCGTAAGCTCACAATTTAGTTAAAGGATAAGAGATAACATACTCACTGCGATACCGACTCCTGACTGGTTACACGCTTTGCTATGTGGAACGGCATCCTATTTTGCAGCAATTTAAGAGGCAGCAAAGATATTTCAGCTATGCTGCATAAATTTAATTACCAGAATGAAATTCGAAACACTGTGTTCAAAGGATCAATCATTCTAATAAGCGACTGAGAAAGTAGTACGGGAAAAAATACGAAGTATGAGATTTTAATACCTAGGAAACAAATAAACTGTTGATCCCTGATTTCCTGACAAAAATTTGTTCAATTTTTTTATATATCTTAGTTCTGTCTTCTATTTGCATTGAGTGTGTTATAGTGGGCTATAGTTGGAATATTAAGCCTTGTAAAGGTCGATAGACTTTTTTGATCCAATGCCTAAAAGTCGAGTCTTGATAGTGATTGCCGAAAGACTGTGAAAATTTCCCTAAATTTCCATTAAATAATAATCATGGAGTGGAATGATCAATTTGTGCAATCAGTGGGTGGTTTGAAAGCTGAGAATTTTGATATGGGGTCGACGGTTAAACAAGAAAAATTCGACATGGTTGCAGCTGCAGCCCAGAATGAGTTAGTTTATTTTTCTTTAATGCATTTTCCTCAGGGTAATCGTTTCATTAGCAAGTGAAGGGAGTGCTACAATAATGTCCCCTGGGGAAATGAGGTAAGTGGTTTTTTGTAGTATCATATGGTAAATGTTAGTCTAAAAGTGTAAAGACTCAGACACTGTTGGATACCGTAGGATAGAAATGAAACAAAAATAGTGGCTTTTATACTCTTAGGGACCGTGTCAGAGATTTGTGTACAAATGTAGTCTACTTTTTTCTAGTTTAATTGATTGTCAGGCAAGCACTTGAATATTGTTCCTGTATTTCATTTTTCTCAATTAAACTATAGGATATGGAGCGTTACATTAGACTCATTGTATTCAGATTTTTTTAATGGGGATAGAAAAGTTGGAGCTTATGTTAATCCTTTTCTAGTAAATTTCTGTGCTTGTTCAAACCCTTCTAGAATAAATCAGTTGAGGTTGCAGACGCCACTTCTTCTCGCAATTGGTTCTAGGAGTTAGCAACTCGGTGTGAGGACCAGTACTCCGCAACAATATGGTTCCTCCTTGGCTTTTTAACTCCCCTGCTGTATCCTCTAAGGTGTTCCGACCACCTAGTTGGAAAGAAAAGGGAGAATAGGTCAGGTCCGTAGCCATTATTTAAAATTTTGAATATAGTAATTAAATCTGTCTGCCTACGGTATGACAGCGAGAAGGGATTTAAACCGTCTAGTCTTTCCTCGTACGACGAAGTAGTCATACCGAGAGTCATACGTGTGGCCTTCCTTTGGACCCTCCAAAATATGTGAGTCCCGTTTAAGACAAGGATTGGCGGCCTGGATACAGCTTTTGGGTCTTCACCTCGCCAGAGATGCATTTAAGGAGATGAACATATTTCTGGTGATTCCTGTTAAGTCCATAACACTTAGATTATTGATTTTAATTATCTGTGTTTCCTGTGCAAGTCTTATTTCCTCGAAGTATTTCATTACCGGTGCTACTGTCACTAACATTAGTATCGAGCGTTTTGTCTATTTAATGGCTTCCCACTTCAAACTCAACTCCGTATACATTCATAGCCACATCGTGTTAAGCCTCAAAAACTTCCGATGTTCATTTAGTGGTGTTTAACTAAAGGCAGCAATTTATCAAGAGGAAGAATGACAAATATTGAGTTTATCGTCATTCCCAATTTTGACTCCTACCATAATAAATCTTTAGTATTTGAACCATATGCAATATTTCTAATTTTTTCTCGGGAGTTAGTTTCAACCATAATAAATTTTTAGTTAGTTAAGTGAACTAGATGTTTCAAGATATCATGGAGAGCAAGATGACAGGCGTCATGGACAGACGAAATGTTAATATGTCTGGACTTCGCAGACGAAACTGGTAAGGAGGTCATGTGAAGAAGAAATGAAAGCTTGTGGACAATTGTGCAACCGATTGAGAATAATAGACGACAAAAGTTGACTGAAAATGTGACGCTGAAGCTCTTCGTCCCATTAGAAATGCAAGAAACGATTAGCACTAATAAGTACACCTTATTTCAATGGTATTGATTCAAATGTATTGTGCTCCTATCAAATAAAAGTATTTCTTGAATATTCCATATAAAGCGGCATGATGAAGTCGAAAGGCGAAATATGCTGTTGGTAATAGTTAAAAAAATGTTTATAGAAGGACATATACAGAAACATTTTGTCTAGCATTAGCTGGCAGGTAGCCAATTTAGATCTAAGACAAACAAATACACGATATCCATTGAATTATGTATTCAAGTTCTATGCTCGAGTCCTATCCTACTTCACTCTGAGTAACTAATTACTATCATTAACTCAATAACTGTAGGTTTTATATTGGTACATGAAAATCTGTTCGAAGTAACGGAGATCTAACTGACTGTAACCAGTTTTTTATTGTACTCTGCTTCTCATAAAAGAAAATCACCGAAAATTCTTAATTTTTTTTAAACAAACTGTGTCATCAAAAACCTTGTTAAAAGTGAATTCACTTCTCTTATAAATTATAATTTTTATTGACCTACATTAGAGTTTTACAAGTGTGTGAAATTTTATATTCTCAGCTAGTTTTCAGTCTTTCAATTAACGTTTCGTTATAGCAATGGGAGCTTGCAGGTTCCGTCAAGTGATGGGCTAACAGGTTCACCATCAACCAAAGATCTTGAACGGTTTAATTGTCTCTCAGAAGAGGAACTGAAAAATAAATCTCTTCCAGATCACTTGAAAGAAGGACTTGATATTGTAATAGTGGGGATCAATCCTAGTTTGGCTTCAGCACACGTGGGACATCATTATGCTGGACCTGGAAATCACTTTTGGACATGTTTATCACAGGCTGGTCTAGTTCCAATGGCTGTTAGTTGCTATGATGATTCAAAAATGCTGGATTATGGTATTGGATTTACAAACGTCTGCACTAGACCGACGAAAGGTGCAGCTGAACTTACACGCAAAGAAATGAAAGCTGGTGCAGCTATAATGCTTGAAAAAATGAGGAAGTATAAACCTAAAATTGCTGTTTTTAACGGCAAAGGTAAGTCTTATTGTTCATTCGTTCGATTTATTGTCTAAACACGGTCACTGACTCTTATTTTGTAGAAAACATCATAACTGAAAAAAACATATATTATTGTGAGTCGTACACGACGTTTAGTGGAACTAATTGATCTAAGCACTCGCTACCTAACCACGGGGTAATGAGCCGTGTTTTACGCATCGAGGTCTGAACAATCAAGTAGTGTCATCGACCCTGACACACGGTCAGCTGCATAGAAACGCAAGAGGTTGTTGGGCTGAGTAGCGCTTTTGAATGTTTAGCGTAGAATGTTGGTTGGTTATGATTGAAAGAGCAAATTGCTGTCAGATTAGTGAGTGAAGGCTACTTAAATCACTTATGACTACTAACGAACAAATCATATCACTCACTAAATTTTGTAGAAATTTCAAATAGCTGAACATCATTTTATTTTATTTTTTTTTTTGACCTGAATATATTTGGAAACATTCAGTGGCCACTTAATGAGATTACTAGTGGAGTTGTTGTATTTCATAAAGAATATTATGATTAAAATTGTAGCGTTCTTAGCATCGTATTTGTTTTATTATTAGCGTGAAGAACGAAAAAGTACTATATTGTGATTGAAGTCCGTTTTTCCGACTGTACCCTGCTGAATAAATAAACCCGAAAGCCAATAATAGCGATGACGCTTGATTCCTGCTCACATAAGTGGAACAGTACAAGGTTTACGTATGTGTAAGTATTAATGGTACAGTGTAGTTGTGGCTTTAATTCCATGGGCATGCTGTTTTCATCAGGAACCAGAGTATTATAAATGGTGATGTCTGTGGGTTCATACTGTCGAGTTATCCCTTCCTTTAAGGCTGTCCTTCAAGGCAATACTTCGAAATACTAAGAGTGAACTAAGTAAATTTTCTTTATGAGTCACCAAATTATGAAGACATTTTGATGCAATCAACTGTCCATCATATTTTTCGAAACATTAAAATTTTTGTTTTCTGTTCTTAGACTGCCATCTATAATAAAGTAAATTGATGTAGAAAGGTGAGATGTACTACTTGTAGAACTGACAATAAAACAGTATAAAGCATACTTAATTCATCTTGATGACGTTATCAGTAAGGACACTGGCACAAACAATTTTCACTTGACCCTTGTGGAATTAATATCATCGGCATATTGTTGAATCTAGAGGGAGATGTCTTATTGGATATAACGCGAAAGCTTATTTATTGCATCAGTATACCTAAATAAATATATCTGAACTCCATAGCGACAAATGACACATCCACTTTAATTGTGTAAAAAAAATATTGGGTGTTTTCTTTATATTATATTCTTTCATTTGATGTGTTCAGTAGTTTTATTTCGTTTAGTTGACTTCCGCCTGTTTAAAATTTCTCCTGTTATCATTTTTATTTTTAGGCATTTACGAGGCATATGTTGGGCACAAAAATTTTTGTATGGGTAGACAGCCAACAACTTTGGAAGGTACAGACACAGTAAGTGGTTACCAGTTGTGTTGTTAACTTGTTCATGTGTTCTTACTGCAAACTGTCTGATTTTAAGTAGTATTGAATAAACGACCAAGGAATTGTTGTTGTTCCTACCTCATGGAATCATAGCTGGATAACTTTAGTTATGTAGATTAACAGTGTATCCATTCTAAAAAGTTCTCGTAATAACTGTAGTAATCAGATACTAGTTCGTTTTCTTAAAAATAATTATAGTGTTTTAGACTTTATTGGTAAGCAGGGGAAATCAATCGAAGAGGTTGTGAAGTTACATCGACTGAGATGGTTAGGACATGTATGCCTAGTCATCGCCTTCCTCGACGAGCAATGTTAGCGAATATAGGGTCAGGCTGGAAAAAAGCTAGCGGCGGTCAAACCAAAACATGGCTTCATCAGTCAATGAAATCCACAACAGTTAGTTTAAGCCAGTAACGTAGGAAAGTGTAGACTGGCTATCCGATTGGGGTCCTCGGGACGGTAAAAATCAATGACTGGAAACAATTGGTGATATGGCTCAAAGTGATCGTTCTCAATGGCTGATGCAGATGCATCCACTCCTTGTGACTTATGATTTCCAATGAAACTGTTTTGTTCCTCGTCATTACTCCTCCTTTGTCTCACACCTCTGCTTACTGTCTCTATTATGCTTTTCTTGTAGTTTCTTCTCTTGCTTCGTGTGCTACATAGAGTGTGGCGACTTGAACTGGTGCACATTTGTGCAAAGTTCTATGTCGAAAACAGACAGACAGACTTTATTGGTCTTTGCATTATCCCCAAGTAATTTTTTTATAAGACAATGACAATTATTGTTCCGTATTGTGCACAGTATTACTATCTCTCTATAAACCCGACCGAAAGCTGCTACTTTGACGTAGTGGTCTGGCTTTAACACCACAATGTCCCAACAAGCTATACTGGCTGAGACTTATGTCTGTTGAGGTCCTACCATGCCAGAAAGGTTGTTTGGTTAGCGGTTAGACAAAAAGCAGCTACCCAATCCAATACCATGATTCAAACAAATTTAGAAAATATCATGCCGGATCGGTCGGGGCCCGGATTAACAACGACCGCGCTTCCTGCTGCCGTGTCACAGGGCAGGAGCGGTAAATATGCTACTGAGATACACCAAACAAAAAAGAACAAACAAAAACAGCCCGCGTGTGACCGGCCTCAAGCAAATGTCCCCTGGGCTCTGCGGTCATGCAACCAACTTCCACGGTGTGGGCAGCCAGGAAGTAACAGTCGCCCTCACAATCCGAAATGCACACGAAACCTCTCTAATCTCTCTATAGAAAAGCCTAGTGGATAAATTCCTTGAATGTCTCCTCGTTTGAATCGGCAAAATATAAACAGCTACCAGTCTGTCGGAAAGCAACTATGTTGCACAGAAGTCTGCTGTGTTACTGTATGCTACCCAATGGCTATTTATCATAACTACTATAGGTGGAAAACAATAATAAGGTTCCAGGTTTGTAAAATTGTTTTTATGTTAGAAAATCTTAAAGATTAGGCGTGGAATGATAAATCATAAGCGTAAATCTGTCGATAAGGTTGTACATCTTCGATGAATAAGTTAACCGGGATTTTCGTCACCTCTCATTTTTCTACTATAAATAAGGAAGGTATACTGAATTCCACTTTGGCTCTTAAGAAAAAGTAGTCTGACGATCATACAGCTCACTGACTTAAGAACTGGACTTTCAGCTAATGAATGTAGAGTTCAGCTCTCTCTGTCACTCTCCACCTTCCCCAGTATGGTTTGCTGGGTAGTATCGTCTGCCTTCACATAATAACTTTAGCCCGGCCTGGTACATAAAAAGACTGTTCAAGTTCTAACTAATAGACAGTTTCGTGCATCAGTATATTGTGGATGTGAATGTTATTATATGAGTATATATATGTCTCAGGCATTTACTGTCCATCTGAGAAAGCTTGCGTCCAGTACTTCTGTCTGTTTTCTTTCTTTACAGATAATTTTTGTTATGCCTTCTTCTAGTGCACGTTGTGCACAACTCCCACGTGCTGAAGATAAACTTCCTTTCTTTTTGGCACTAAGAAAATTGCGTGATTATGTACGTGGTGATTTAGCAGAACTACCAGATTCTGAGGTTGTATTTGCCGACTACACAGAATTTCGTGTTACTCAACCGGATCCTAAGAGTTTGCGTAAAGCAGAAAGACGTCGGAAACGAAAGGCAGAGGCGGCAGCAGCCGCGGCCGCTGCAGCGCTCGCCGCCAACTCCGGTGATGGTACTCTAGTGAATGGGATTACTTCAAGTCAAGTTATATCTAGTGATGGTGTTACTGTTACTCAAGCTGCTAATGGTATTTCAATCGACGCCAAAGGGAAATCAAAATCAAAACGTTAGTTACTTAGAGTGTGGTACTATATATAATGAAATTTTCTCTGTTTTAAGCCCTTTGTATTTGTTGGTATTAATGTCTTCAATTTTTCTGTTAGTTAGGCATTCGGCTTTACTAACTTTCTGGATATTTAATCATTTTAACCTCTTAATTTCACCCCCCACCATACTTAGAAATGATCAGCTAAAATAACCACTGGACTAGTAAAATTTTGATGTAAAAAACTATATGCTAGTGTAGAGTTGATGATGAGAAAAGAATGCAGTTTTCTTTTCTCAGTCTGTTGTTTAATCATCATGTTTATTGTTTGCTAGGAAGTTATTGTAAAGTCGATCCTTTGACGGTGTGCATGAATTGATTGTGCGATGGTAACCAAGTGGATGTCCTTTACTCCTAGATGCTGATCAAGTGGCTCATTGGTTTATGCTGTCGACTTCCAACCAGTGACTGTTGGGTTCAATGCACTGAGTTTTAGATAGCCAGGTAGTAAGTATCATTTAGCGCTCACACAAAAGATGTGGCTCATTGCCACTTCCATGGAGTCACAATTGGCTGTTAAGTAGCACATACAAATGTTGGCCAGATGCTATCGACCAAGGATCAGGTTAGAAAAAAGCTAGGGGTATCAGGCAGTTAACTCCGAACTCACAGGAATCAGACAGATGTAACCACTTACATCTGTTAAACACAATTCCAAATAATTTTCCTATCTCAGCAATAAATTACTATGTAGAATATTTCGTTGATCCTCCTTCATGTAAGTATAGAAGTTCTGCTGTTTCTCCCTAAACTTAAACACAGTCTACTCCAAATACTAATCAACTTCATGAATTAACTGACCTCTTAGTTGTCGGTATGTGGCTGACACTCAGCAGAATCCTTAATTTCATCATTTGCATTTGCTAACATCATAAAATGTAAGGAGGAACATTGGTAGAACACTTTATGCTGGCAGTGATTTTAAGTCACTACGATTGTACTTCACATCTGTCTGATCACTAGATCTTCAATGTTTCACATTCAAATTTATGTTCCTTATCTTCATCTGAAAGATTGGAGAGAAAGATGTTCTATTCCGCGGTGAGGTACTATATTTCACGTCCTAGTTATAACTTACTGTATATATTGAAATTGTCTGTAGTAGAATTAGGTGAACAAAAACTGTATATACAAGTGTGTGTGTGTGTATGTGTGCGTTCGCGACTCGCGCTATGTCGTGAATTGGCAGAAGTTGTAATTCATGGACAGGCCATTGGATCGGGTCCCACCGACCTAATGGTCTACGAGCTCCCTGGCCTTGTAACCAGAAGGTCCTGGGTTCGAACCCCTGTGGCGAAACAGCTACCCAGTACAGATTTTCCAATGGTTCTCTAACCGGTGTCAGCTCATGATGCAATCCTGTAACCAAAAAGTGTGTGATAGTGTTCAAAACATCATATAGTAATTAGTACCATTTGATTGTGTGGTAAATCTATAAAGACTGCAATATGGAGCCATTGCTTATACTTCTCTTCTCTGTTATTCTATCTGAAGAAATCGTGTTAATTTTTGACACTCGAATTTGACATGTAGTGGGTAGCAGCACTACTCAACAACCACTTGAAATCGGCCACACTTATTTGGTAGGGCTAGTTGTGCTGTCTGCAGTTGACCAAACCTCGGTGCATAGAGCTGGATTCGAATCCGAGACCCACTTGTTGAAAGAAAGTACAGTTTTATGTAATTCGTAACCAACAGGAAGTTTATTTGTAGTCCATTTGAAGTTTGGTCGTAGATCTATTGTTGGTCCCCCCCCCTACCAAGTAGGAAACTGAAAGTAGTACTTCACTGCAAGGAAGGAATTAACTATCAGTTACGCTTTACTAAACCATAATCATTTTATTTCAGAATTACTGTTATAACCGAGGGAGGTATAACTACTTCACTATGACCAGGTAGAGGGTGCATAGATCATATCTTCACTCTTCGACAGATTCTAGAACATAGACACACTTTTCGGCGTCCAACAATTGTCATATTTCTTGACTTGAAGGCGGCCTTCGACTCCGTGGATCGAAAGGTACTATGGCAATGTCTGACTGTGAAGGGAGTGCCAAGAAAGTACATTGCACTAATCAAGGCACTCTATTCAAACTCACGTAGTCGTGTAAGGGCTTATGGGGAATTGTCATCTGAATTGGTAACAACCAGTGGTGTCCGACAGGGATGTCCACTTTCCCCATTTCTGTTTAACTTCATCATAGATATGCTGATGGAAGTATCCTTAACTGAACGTAATGACTTAGGAATCGACTTGTTACCAGGGAATAGTTTTATGGACTTAGAATATGCAGATGACATAGTCCTGTTAGGGGAGGATGCTGACAAAATGCAGAGTCTTCTGAACACCTTGAGCAGCAATCTTCGTATGTTTGGCATGCGATTCGCCCCTGCAAAATGTAAGATGCTGCTACAGGACTGGACTACGTCAACTCCTAACTTAGTGATAGGGAGTGAAGTGATAGAACATGTTGACCACTTCACCTATTTGGGAAGTTGTATTAGCACCAACGGACTGATTGGCGATGAAATCTCAGCACGGATCCGAAAAGCTCGAGCTGCTTTCGCTGACTTACACCATCTCTGGCGTAGGCGTGACATCCGGTTATCAACCAAGGGACGTGTGTACTGCTCATCAGTTCGCTCCGTCCTTCTCTATGGCTCTGAAACATGGCCAATACGCGTTGAAGACATGAAAAGGTTGACTGCTTTCGATCATAGATGTCTGCGATCTCTGTCTCACGTTAGGTGGTTTCACAAGATAAGTAATGTTGACGTTAGGCGTAGAGTGTTGGGCAAAGAGGGAAAATCAATCGACGAGGCTATAAAGTTACATAGACTAAGATGGCTAGGTCACGTGCTGCGCATGCCTAACCACCGCCTCCCCCGACGGGCATTGCTAGCTGATATAGGTGAAGGTTGGAAAAGAGCCAGTGGTGGCCAAACAAAAACATGGCCTCATCAATCCATGAAATCCTTGACAGTTAAACTGAGTCAGGTAGGGAGATGCAGACTCCCGGGTTGGGGCCCTCGGACTGACTCTAGGAATCAATGGCTGGAGACAATAGGTGACATGGCTCAAAATCGTTGTCAATGGCGCAGATGTATTCAGTCTCTGTAATCTTTCATATTCCTTTCTACCATTACCCATTCTGTTTCACTCTTATACTTGTCAAACTCTATTGATTCTCTTCACTCATCTTCTTGTCTACCTTTGTGTGCTATTTGGAACGTGGCAACTCGGACTGGTGCACTTCGGTACCAAGTTCTATGTTGAATCCAGACAGACAGACAGATTTATTGTATAATTTTTTAATAAAAAAACAACTCAAGAACTAGGAGTTGTTGCGTTATTGAACTCTGATCAAAATTTGATTGATTGGTTTACTTTTAATCGTATTGATTATTTAAGATTATATTATTTATTGTAAGTTTTTTGCCTGTAATGACTCAGAATTAAGTGTAAAATTATGACTTTCGTAAAACTAAATTTCTGAAGAGAGAATATTCTTTTCGATAACTTCTTCACATTAAAGCTCTACAGTTATATTGTAACAGCAGAAGGCAAGACACAGTGTTGAACTGTGGGGGAATATATGAGAAATCCATTTTTATGGATAACATTAATGACATTAAAATTCTAAGAATTATATGCGAAAGATGAAGTACCCTAGGCTAGATACATCTTCTTGTGTATATTGATTCGAATGCTCCTGTGGAGCCAGTTATATTGGCCGTTGCCTTAGGGATTTAGTTTTTTCGGCCTCAGCAGCACCTACCTCTGTAGAGGTAATTGAAGGTGTAGAGAAAACCATCAACAGTTTGATATTATACCACCTAGTTCAAACATACCTAGCTAGCATGGGAGAGTCTTTTCCCCGAAAAACCACTTGTCAAAAGCCGGCCGACAACTGCTACCTTGTCGTGGTGGTATGGCTTGAATACCTCAGTGACCCAACAAGGTAAACTGGCTGGGACTCGTGTTCCTGCAGGTCCGACCACGTCAGGAAGGTTGTTTGGACAACGGTTAGACTAAGAGCAGTTATCATGGGGTACATGGGCTCCAGAATCCAATCGGATCAAATAGCGTATGAAACTATATTGGTCACCGGCAACCATGGGAATGCAGCTCTTGACGCGCTGCCTTGCGGATTAGACTCCAAGTCAAAGGCTCGAGGGGTGATCCCATAAGAAAACCACCTGCTTCGGTCTGGGAGCCCGGGTGGTATCTCAGCCCTCACACAAGTGTGGCGCATCTTCTTGGTGCCATATTGTTCCATGTTTTTCCGCATTAAAAAAAAATGGTCAAAAGCCTCCAGGTACCGAATACTCCAGAAACAGTTGAGGTTATTGTCATTAGCTTAAAACAACTGTAGATTTGTGTGTCCAAAAGAAAAAACAGATCCGACGTTTATTGCTGCCGTAGCCTGCTGTGGAACTCATAAATTTCTAAATTCTTTATTACTTTCCTTATTTTTCATATGATATTCAGTTTAATGTTGCATCTTAATGCGCATATTGTCACTTATAGATGCTTTTCAACCACAATGGGCTTATATTATTGATTTGATGTATTAGAAAGAACACAATAATGCTGTTATCAATAGTATAGGTGTAAAACTGTAGATCCTAATGAAGAAGTTATGGAAAAGAATATTCTGCTCAGTACTCAGTTTTAAAATATTTCATGAAGGGCATCTCTAATCAATTAAAAGTAGGACTCTTTAATATATATTTTTTCACACAGTAATTGAGATTCACTGTAATATAAGTACTGTGTAAAAGTCCCTATTTGTCCCGGTGTTTTTAAAAGTTCCTAGTCATCTTTTTTGTTTTAGCGCATATAAGCAACAGTAGTGAAGTGTAACCCATTATCAGTGAGATTACTCAATGGTGTACGAGAATTCGACGGGAGTAAGGCAAGGCTGCCTACTATCTCCAATGATTTTCCTGATTGCAGT